GCTACCGCTTGAGCCACATCCCCAGCCCAAAGATCAACTTTTTAAAACTTTTTTTTTAATATTTACTTTTTAAGGTGTAGATGAACACAACACAATGCCTTTATTTTTATGTGGTGCTGAGGATCGAACCTGGTCCCACCCGTGCTAGTTGAGGGCTCTACAATCCTAGCCCTGGGAAAAAATTCTTTACAAGAAAAATGTGTAAATGAGCCATTTGGGCAAATATCTTCAGATCTTCAAGCATGTGCAACTACTATGGTTCTTGCTACTAGGTGAAAAGGAAAACTAAAATCCTATATTTTCTAAACTTAGATCCCAAAGAGTAATGAGAATTTACTTACTTCACTAGAGCAGCTGCTTCAGGAAGTACATCAGCAAACGACTCACGGAATATGATTGCATTTTTCCGTTTACAGTTCTGTATGACATCATTGGCAAGGTAAAAGAGATTCAAACGGTGGGGATATGCAGCTAGAGATGACAAGAGACAATAAAAACCAAATGAGTCATTTTATACTTAAACTTACTTCAAATATAGTGTTCTCAAACAATAGCTGTTTTTTTTTCCTTTTTTACACAGATATAAAAGGATGGATGAATAAACTGACAAATAATCTAATCAATCTTTTTGTACTAAGAATCTTGACTACCGGTTAAGTTTCTGCTTAAGGCACTCAAGTAGATTTCTTCTTCACTTTGTACACATCTGGTGCTAAAGATAAAATTGTTTTCCCAAATATTTGGGAAGACAAAAAAAAAAAATTGAATACACTCAACCTGTTGCAGCAATATAAAGGTTAGTGGAAAGAACATGGCCTTTGGAATCTAATCAGAATATAACTGTATGCTGGGTAGAGTGGCATATGCCTGTAATCCCAGCAACTCAGGCGACTAAGACAGGAGAATCACAAGTTTGAGGCCAGCCTAGGCATCTTGGATCTCATTTTTTTTTATTTTCTCTAACTCCTCTGTCTCCAAAAAAAAAACAACCAAAGGCTCAGTGGTAGAATGTCCATAGGTTTAATCCACAAAATCCCATAATAAAAAAAGAATGTAATTGTGTAAAATACTAACATTACTATACAGAGAATTTTTTCATCAACTAATCCAGATACTGCTTGGGCACACCTAAGTCTTACCATCTACTGGAAAGTAAGTTCTACTTTCATTGCTAGGTAGGTGTCCTGGGAAATAATTTGAATCTATGCACATACCCTAACAAGGCAAAATCTTTGTCTCTCTCTCTTTTTTTTTTTTTTTTTTTAAAGATAAGGTCTAGAGGCATACACCACTGGGTCTAGTTAAATTCATTAACTGAAATCTTGAGCAAAGCCACCCAAGTTTCAATAGAACGCTGGGAATTTCAAAATTTCAAAATTATAATCCATCACATTTTTCTAGTTTCTCAGATTCCTTGATCTCAAATTCAGTGACCTCTAAGAACCAGCCCTTGTATATTTTAAATTTCCTTCTGACCACACCCTCCCACTCCTACTATATTTTTTCTTCAATTTCATCAAGATCTCACTTTTTTTATTTTCTCTAACTCCTCAGTCTTTTCTAGTACCCAATTCTTTATCAATTCCTGTGAATTTAATCTATTATTTAAATGGTTCTTTCACCCAAATCCTCATTTTCTTTTCCTTTTCCCCCTAAATTAGCCTTGACATGTATACTCAATAAAATCCTAAATTTGGATTTATCTAATTGAATGTCTTTACTGTACCTTTTATTCTGTCATTTGGTTCTATTGATGAAAAATCATACCAAGAAGACTGAAACCATATAAACTCATAGTCTCCTTCTTCAACTGTTTCCTGTTAGAATCCTTCCACATGTTCTTAGTTATTAATTAGCATCCTCTCCTCTCTTCACTKGCAATAAGGGGTATTTCACATTTATACCACCCATCAAATCCTGTCTTACTATATCCCTTCTAGCTCTCAGGAGATGACCTTACATGCTATTTCACAGAGCAGAAATAATTASATGGGAATAATTTTCTCTCAAAAAATGTACAGTAGTCCCCCATTCCCACAGGAATTCCAAGATCCCTGAAAACAACCAATAGTAGAAAAATTCCATATATGGGTGTCCTTAACTTATGAAGGGGCTACATCACATGTTTAAAATATTTTAAGTTGAAAATGCATTTCTAACCTAATGGCATAGTTTAGACACAGTACACTATAGAGGATCAGCTGTTTACCACATGATCACATGACCTTTCATTAGCAAGCTATAGTTTGCTGCTGCCACCCAGTATTGCAAGAATATCGTATAACATAATGCTAGCACAGGAAGAAATAAAAATTCAAAATATAAAGTATAGTTTCTACCATGTATCACTTTTGCATCACTGTAAAGTTGGAAATTTTTATGTTAAATCACCTTAAGTTGGGGACTGTCTGTTGAGTATACTGTGTTTGGTGCTGGGGAATAAATCCAGGGCCTTATATATGTTAGGCAAGTGCTCCACCATTGAGGTATTCCCAGAACCTATGCTTTTTCCTGCACATACATTAACAAACTCTGTGCCTGCTCTATCTGAACTAAGCACTTACCATCTATTGTGACCATAATTTTTGCAGCTAACTTTTGGGGTATGATAGTAAAATTCAGCACAAAGTTTTTTCTACTTTTTCACAATTTCACAGAAGATTCCATACTGTGGATCTCAGCAACTTCAGAACATAGTTCCCCCCCGCCCTTTATTAAATAGATAGATGTTTTCACTTAATTCATTGGTCCCACCACTCCATGTGTGGAAAACCTATAAAAACTTAAATTGAACTATTAACCTATTTTTCATGTACCTGTGTTACTGCATGATTCACAGAATTGAAAACTTGGAACTCCAGGGATTAAAGGAAGTACTTTATGGCATCTCTTTGGCATACCAACTTTCCAATATCATTACTCTTGCATTTTTTAAATATTTTTTTAAGATGTAGATGGACTCGATACCTTTATTTTGTTTTTATTTTTATTTTTTAGTGTGGWGCCGGGGATCAAACCCAATGCCTCATGCATGCTCTACCACTGAGCCACAACCCTGGCCCTTCATTACTCTTGCATTTTGAGGCCATAATTAAGTAAAATAAAGGATACTTGAACATAAGCACTGTTAATACTGAGACAGGCGATCACACAAATCAACACAGCTACTAAGTGACTAATATGTTTGTAGTAAATACAGCATGGATATGCTGAACAAAGGGGTGATTCACATCCCAGGCTGGAAGGAACAGTGCGATGTGAAAGTTCATCCCACATTATTTATTTCTGGAATTTTCCATTTAACATTTCTAGACTGCGGTTGACCAAAGGTAATTAAAACTGCAGAAAGCCAAAGCATAGTGAATCCATATTTAAAGTTACCTGGATAAACTTACCTAGTGCAAAGTGTCATTTCTCCTATTAAAATATAATCCGTCTACCATGTACTGTTCCTAGTCTCTCTTTTCTCCTTGGGAACCTTATAACTCCATTAACTTCTAGTTTCTTATATTTTAAATTATATGCTATTTATATATTTACATTGTATTCCTTCTGACACTTATATGCATATCTCTTCCATCTTAAATAAGCATTCTTTTTTAATATTTATTTTTTAGTTGTAGTTGGACACATATTTTATTTATGTATTTTTACATGGTGCTATTTCCAATATTTCTCAAATATAGGCCCTCTTCTCCTTTTCTTCCTAGGACTGCTCTTCGCCGAGTTTCATCAATTTTGATCTAAACCAGTACTGCAACAGCTTCCTATAGGTTATCTTACCTCTAACACTTGATTTCCTCAAATTTATTTTCTACATTGTTGTCAAACTTATCTTCTAAAAAGCAAACATTAACCAATTCTTCCTCATATCACATCTGTCAGTAAGCTCCCACTGCTCACTGGACACAGCAGGATACCTTACCCTCCTTTCAGGATCTGTGTCTTCTCTTCCAGTCTCACTGCTTCCTCTTCAAATTCAAAATTTCTTCTTTAATGTAATGAATTACTCAAAGTTCCCAGAAACCCTGCTGTTTCCCTCACCTCTTTCCCTTTCCCTCTCAGAATTTTCTTTTTGTATGATAATCCATTCTGAGTACTATTCATGATTTCTAGTCATCCACAGGAAAACATCAAAAATTTTAAATTTGATCCATGTCAGATTCTGACTGCCCAACTTAATCACTACAACTCCCCAAAGACATCACTTTCCCCAATGTAAATCTTCTACATTACAGCATGACAGAAATTAAGGAAGAATAAGAGAAGTTAGCTAGCTAAGGTAGTTGAGAAGATGCCTAAAAGGCAGCGGAAAATGAGAAGGTCCATCTTTATTGTTTTTCAAATCCTTTTGCAACCTGTTTCTTGCTTACCTGCTGATCCTCAACTGCAGTCACCCCTTACAGCTCCATCATAGTGAAATACACCTTGTTCTCATCTCCAAACTCCATTCAGCTTATAGAACATCTTCTATAAAGCATCCCCTGACTCCACAAGACTATGCTTTTAGTTCATTCTGATTTACACCTATTACTTGTCTGTATCTCCATTAGATTTGAAACTTCCTTAAGGCTGGGGTTCTGTTGTGTTTACTACCACATCCTCAATAACTGATTCAGTATTGTATTTATTTTTCATTATTTGTGAGTGAGTCTGGGCCAATTGTCCTGTAGAATATTTCACCTTCTGGATTTGTGTGGTTGCTTTTTTATGGTGTTATGAGCTTTTAAAATTATTTCTAAGGCTGAAATCAGTTGCTGGTTGTATTGTATTTACTGCCACATCCTCAATAACTGAATCAGTACCCAATTAATAGTAATTAAATGTCTAATAGGCAGAAAGAAAGGGCAAGAGCATCCCAGAGAGAACAAGTCATAAGCAAAGGTGTTTACCAGGACTGTACAAGGTGTCTTTTGTCTCTGAGGAGATAGAGACTTAGACTGGAATTTTAAATTTATTTCACAAATACTTACATATATACTACTTTTATATGCCTGGCACTGTTCTAAAGATGACACAAATGTTAACTGACATTCTCACAGCAACACTCTGAGGTTGATACTATTAACATATCTCTCTCTCCCTCTCTCTTGTGGTACTGGGGATTGAGCCCATGTTCTACATGCATGTGAGAATACTTGTCTGTATCTGAGCTATATCCCCAGTTCAATTTCTCTTTAATAGACGGAATTGAGTGAAATGTCCAAAGCCACAGCTATTAAATGGTGTAGCTGGGATTCAAATCCAAATGGTTTGGCTCCAGAGTCCATGCTCTTAACAACTATCTATATTTCTGTCTCACTAGGAAGATTTGCATGGAATAACAGTAAGGAATAGGCAAAGATGATAAATTCTGGTAAGACTTTAGCACATATTAAAAAATTTTAGTGTTTATTCTGTGGCCAGTAGAAGTTGAATATGAAGGTCATGAAAAGCTTTTATAGAGGAGAAACTTTTAGAAAAAGCAGCAA